GTGTTTTTGCATTGTAAAAATCAATATCGCCCCCGTCGATGTTTTTAAGTCTGTAGAACAGCACTGATAAACACTAACATATACTTAGAATGAGTAAATGAGCATCTAATATAAGGCTACCTTACAGAATCGATTTCGAAAGCAATTATTACAGATTAAATGACAACTAGTGCAAAAAATATGTCAAATATACATGTATTTGGGAAACCAGCTATTACTATAATTGCTGTATAGTAGTATTTAAACACAAATGCTACGATCACACAAAGATTATTTTTTATATAGTCTTAGCGTGTGGTATGTAATTTGACACTCAGGATTGGCTAGATAAATAGAAATGATATCCGATATTTATTATTGACAAAGCAATATTTCCTTTATCATTTTCGCACAAAAAAGATATTGTCAGTGTAGAAGTGTTTGGTGGCATTTTATTGTTGAACTATCAAATATAGATATCTAGGATTAAGTTTCGGTTATACAATAAACGTTTTGACAAAGTCAATAAAAGCATTAGCATATTATTGAAAAATCACACAATTTATCATTTTTTAAGTATTGGTCTCAAACAATGTCATTTAATCTCTCCTGGTTCTGTAATGAAGTGTTACCGTGTGTTTCTACACTGCATGTCGACCAATGTTTGTACGTTTTGAGGTCCTCTCCACTCAACTTGAGCATACGGCCACCAAGAGCCATCATTTTAATGGCTACCTTACAAAATATTTCTTCCTTATTTACCAAGACCTCGTTAAGTGAATATTATGTAAATATTTTGGTTTTCAATAAAATTAACTCTACAAAAATCTCGTTATTAAAATGTGATCCCTAGAAAGCATTATTCACAACAAAATTAAAAATAAAGATTGCATATGGTTTGATGGAGTCTACACTGGAGGGATAATAAAAATGCAATATACCCCACAACTCTCATCAATATTTGTTGAATATATAGATCTATTAGTATGTTCTCCCTATTTGAAATATTTTATATCTGAACTTGACATAACTATCAAATTATGCATATGATTTCAAAGAGAAGTATTATTCACACATACGAAAATAATGTAAAGCAAGGAAGATTTATTATTATCATTTTATAAACTTCAATTTCCAAGTCTGAAAAAGTCCCTGCAGCAACATAGAGTTTGCACAAGTAATAACTGTCGTTATTATGCAAGCACCGCTAATTAAAACTCCGAAATAACCTATGCAAGGAAAAAAGGTTTACTTCGGACGGGTATATATTTCAAGAGACATCTTATTGAAAGTAAAAGACAATATACCTCGTCACTGATAAGAAAAAGAGATTTATTTCTGTGAACAAAATAAATATCTTAAGAATCGTCTATTTAATGTGAATACAAATCGCAGTTCCAAATACACTCATTAAAACAAAGTATGTGGTTATATGAAAAACAAATGAGTGGAAACGTTTTAGACACCTATAACTTATAAGTATTCAGTCTATAAGATGTTTATGAAACTTCCTTCAAACGTATTTATTGAATTACTACCATAGGATTTACATACAATCATACTGATTTCTGCTTTTGTTCGTTTGTTTGTTTCATTTTTGACGCTTTTTTTCCAACAGTAAGTAGTAGGCGGGTAGTTTCCTAACCATCGTTCCTGGAGAGTTACACCAGTTCTAGACTACCTTCCTCTGCGCTAAACTACCAAAGCATCTCCTGGGGATCGAACCCACGCCAGAGATACTGGATTAGAAGTCATCGACTCTAACCCCTCGACCACAGAGGCGGCTTGATTTCTGCTACTATAAGGTTACATTTACAAAAGAAAATACCAGGAGACACGGAAAATTCCATATACGCTTTTAAGAAAAGAAGAAAAAATTCAAAATTTGTGATGGAAAAATGCAAAACAATTTGCAAATCTGTATGAAACTCAAAATAAAGGATGTTAAAAACGAGAGATAATGTCAGTAACATGTTTCATATTTGTTGGTGTATTTAATGATAATAATCTAAAAAGCACTGGTAAAAATGAGAAGGAAATATTAAAAATTTATATAGAAAAAGAGTATTGAAAATATTGGTAGAAAGGTATGCTAGATTGTGTAATTATCTAAATACAGCAGATTCAGAATTCAATTTAACATCATGTTGCTTACGATACAGCTATGAAAAATCTTAAGAAATATGTCATTGCTCATTACCTTCTATACTAAAATCCACTGCATTAATCTCATTTCAAAGTACAAAATAGTATGCATCATATTACAAAAAAAATCAATGAAAAGTTGTCAAAAAATGTCAAAAGCAAACTACCGTAGCACTGGCTTAAGCAGAATTCAACATTTAAATATGAAAATGGTGAAATTTTGAATTAAGAAACATCAACAGATGTGTTCATACGGCAGTTATCATGGAACCTTCAATGTGACACCTTAATGCCATTCCATGAAAAGCGGCGTATGGTTACCAATTAAAAAAACGCGTGTGACTTAAACGAGAAAACAATGGGCGGAACTAAATTAAATGGAATTTTGAAAGTGGATCTGAGGAAAATAAACCATTGTAAGCTCGGTTTTAGAAAGGGGCGTCCGTGGCAGAGTTGCTAGGGTCGTTGCAAATGATGTCGTATTACCGTGCTAATATGTATACTTACCAACCTAAGTTGGTATGCTATTCAGGGGAGGCTACCTGTAATACGCAAAGCGCTAACAAAACCAACACTTGAGGGTTTTAATGATTATTAACTACATGTTTTACTAATTATAGCCATTTGTCGGAAGATTATACAATAAAAGAACTGTTAGGCGTATGGTGAGTACCTAACCGTAACCAAACCACTGGTTCATTTTGGTCCACAGAACATGCACAGCTAGGCGGCGGGTGTGGCGTGATATCGCGATATTGTGTAGCATATTGGGGAGATGCAGTAATTACAACGTTCTTATGTTCTTAGGTATACTTCTTTTTTCCTCAACGTACTAAATTTTATCATCAGCAGAAAAAACATTCACTGGATTTCTGGTCGAGTATTGACACATTTCAAATGATCCCAAATTAGTTTGGTCATAATCAAAATTATTTTTTAAACAAGACACCATAGAACTGTAGAATATATATCGGCTACTCAGGCATTAGATAATAGATCATTATATTCAACTCTTCAATATTTATTTCATCATTTAAATGATAGCTTGGCTAAATTAACCAGGGCGGATCCAGGATTTCAGTTTGGAGACAAAGTAGTGGTGGAATATTTCTCAAAGTACGCAGAAAGTTGTTATAGCACAGAAAATATTTGTTTGTTGCGATTAGATTATTTCCATGGTATTTTGAATTTTTATGTATAATCAATGGGTTTTTATTTTTTTACATTTATTTATTTATTTTGACTAGTCGGTCATTTAGACAATTCAGATAAAAATGTATACCCGCTCTAAAGCAATCAGCTTACTTAAGCGTTCCTCAATTCTCTTTTAAATAATAAAATGGTTTGAATTAATGAATATTGATCGGGGGAAATGTAAAAGCGTTTTCCGTGTGCGCCCTTCCACTTAAAACCGCTAGTTGTTATGACTCTGTTAAAAGTTGTTTTTGTTATATATTATTAAAGGAGTTGTTTTTGTTTTCAAGAGAAAAAGACATTTTATTTTTTATACAAATTACCACTGTTCAAAAAGATAAACCAAGTATAGCATGTCTTCCTCAAGTCTTTAATTACGTAAACTGGGTAAATGGACTACAATTAATTTAGCACTAAATATAGTAACATATATTGGTTTACCCAAGCTATTTCTATCGCGATTACTGCGTTCGACTGAAATTAACTACGTAACTTAAAACCCACGCACTGTCTACATTTATAATTTTCCTCGTATTTTCCAAATAACGAGTCTTTTCCTTTCGTGACTTTTCATAAGTGCTAATACGTTTGAAAAACGGTCATTGTTTTTTTTCTGAATAACAAAACCCTGGATCACTATGGTGGCTGATTTGTGCCATATGTATTTTCGCCCCGAGACCCCCGCCAAACGAAAAGTCGAGAATTAACAAGTTAAAATGGCCGGGGCGCGGCGAAGTTTTATTTATTAAACTTCACCCCGCGCCCCCGCTAATTAGCTTGTTTTCTTCACGCAAACCCGCGTTTTTTTCCCCTTAAATCTTACTCCGCACCCCTGAGGGGCGAAGTTTTGTTTATTTAATTTCGCACCGCGCCCTCACTTATTTGCGAGATTTCGCTCAGCGCCCCTTTAATTTTAATTTGTTTATTCACGACTTTTCTCTTGGCGGTGTCGCGGGACGAACTCACGCTTACAAGCGGGTGCGCTCAGCGAAGTTTTATATAATTAACTTCGCCGCGTGCCTCCGCTTATTAGCGTGTTTTCGTCCCGCGACCCCGCTGTTTTTATTTCTAAAATCTCGCCCCACCCTCACTAATTGGAGTGTTTTCGCTCCGCGCCCCCGCCATTTTAATTTTCGACATTTCGAGGGGCGAAAACACTAATGGCACAAATCAGCCACCATAGATCACTGAATAAACTTAGGTTGAAATAAAAGCCTTATCTTATCTAAATACACCAGAAATAAGTAGTATATAAAAATAACACTTTGCCCCTTAAGTTTTTGTACAAAAGTGTTTATCTTTAACTCTTTCTTTAATAAATAAAAAAACGCATGATGGATGTACGATAAAACATTAAAAGGAAATTCATGAAAAGATGCTAGCTGTGTAAACCTTGAACAACAATTCATTAATTTTGATAATTTAATGTATGCAATGTTGTTCATGAACGAGAAATATATCTGGCATATGAATAAAAAAACAACAAAAACATTAGATGTTAGATCTATAGTTTACCTGGGTTTCCAAAAAGATATCTAATATATAACTGACTGATAACGTTATTTTTTTGTCTCTGTCATATGGTGTCAGGGCTGACATTTAAGTACAATTGTTTGTAGAGATGACTTTAGTGTTTTATATTGTATAATTGAGTTATCAAAACAAACAAAAAATAAACTTACAGTTGTAAAGTCGTACAAGTTTATAGTATGTTATAATCTGCCGGGTCGAATCTAATAATGATAACAGAATCTCAAATCGTTGATATTTTTCAACTTTTGCAGTTACATATGTTGTCATGAAATAGTGGTAATAAAATATTCCTTGGTTTTATACAGCAATGGTGACTGAAAAATAATATAAAACTTGTTTCATTCTCAGTTTATAGTTACAATTACACCCATAGCATGTAAATTACCATAAACTCGTGACAAGCGATAAAATTAGAAAAAAAGGAAACTAAAAAGTAGTCAACAATTCCAACATGATTCAATATATGCAATGCGTATGTTAAAGTATTTTTGATATTTCCAGTTGTTTCGTTTAAAATAAACCGTTTGAGAACAATAGACCATTGTTAAAATCACATAATAATTTGTTATCAGATTTGTAAATGACAGAGATAATTTAATACAGCAAATTGATAGCGTATCTGCAGTTTGAAAATGTTATATTTCTAGAAGAAAAGAACACACTGAATCACTGTGAAACACAACATGTAAATCTTTTCTTACATGCATCCCATAGATGTGTAAATGTCAAGTCGACAACATGAGCCAAAATTAAACATTATATATATTACATTAAAAAGAGTGGATAAATAGCAATATTATGTACCCCATTTGTCTATCCCATCCTTAAAGAAAGTCACTATTGCCTTGAATGAAATTAAAAATAGAGACGGAATAAGAAAGAAATATAAACTTAAAAAAACACACTCGAGTGGTTTTCTTAAAAAAGTGGTTTATTAAAAAAAGTTATGGGAAGGTTTCCTCCTTTGACAAATAATACTTTAAATATCTGTCATATATTAATTAGTTATAACATATTTACTCGTATTTAAATATTTTACATATATTACATTTATTTTCGACAAATATATATAATTATATTTTCCCTATGCGTATATATGTACATAATTGTTACATAAATTGAAAGGGATTAGATTATATTAATTGATCGCTTGAATTGCTCATTTAAAGTTATCTTTATTGACAACACCTAAGCTCAGTATATTTTGATAATATTTTCACAAAATTCATAAAATTTGTCCAAATGTTTATGTTAAAGGGCATCTAAGGCTACCGTAAAGAACCGATTTCTGAGGTAAATGACACATAGTGTAAAAATATATCATCATAGATACATTTATCTGGGAAACCAATCATATATGTATATATGTATAACTACTTAGATCATACAAAGATACTTTTATAAAGGCTTAGCGTGTGGTATGTAATTTAACACTCAGGATTGGCTAGATGAATAGAAATGATATCAGATATTTATTTTCGACAAAGTTATATTTCTACTATGCGTAATCTTTATCTTTTTCCTACAAAAAATATTACTTGACTATAATAATATTTTAAAGTTATTGGATTCTCACAAGACTGTGAACCTAAGCTAAAAAACAAATTGAATAAAATATGTTTCAAATCTTGTAAGGAACATACAATTTTCTTGTTTATTTTCTAAAATACAAATGTAAAATTTACTAAAATGGTATAAAGATGATAAGATTCAGAATAACAAAAAGCTTGTGGTTCCAGAGTGCTCCAAAACACATCAGAAACGTTCTAGGTAAAAAACAAAATTTCGAGGGAGCATGCCCCCGGACCCCCTCATTTGCCTCGGTCAAAAGACAGGTCTGGCTACGTCATTGCTATCACTTGTTTTAGCACAATGTGTCTGGATGACCATGAGTAACAATTAATAGTCTTACTAATGTATCACTTTAAAAAGCGTGACTGTTAATCTATTGTGGTGCGGCGGTAATGAAGTGTTACCGTGTGTTTCTACACTGGATGTCGATCAACGTCTGTACGTTTATGAGGTCCTCTCCACTAAACTTGAACACATGACCGGTTTAATGGTACTGCTACCTTACACTATTTTTATCCCAGAACTCAGAATATTTTGCTTTTCAACAAAATTAACTCTATAAAAGTCTAGTTAAAGTGAAATCCTGCGGAAGCTTTATTCACAACAAAATGAAAAATGAAAATTGCAGACTCGGTCTGATGGAGTCTGCACATGAGGGATAATTAAAATATTGCAACATCCCTCACAACCCTCATCAATGTTTGTTGATTTTATAAATTCATTTGTAATTTCTCCTTATTTGAAATATTCTATATCTATCTGATGTTATTGATTTAACTGCTAACATATGCATTTGATTATAACCGTTGCAAAGACATATATCATTCACACATACGAAAAATCTGTATAGCAAGGACGAAGATTTATTAATGAGCAAGGACGAAGATTTATTAATGTCCTATTTTAATAATTAAATTTCCAAGTCTAAAGAAGGACATTCAACAACTTAGAAGTTGCGCAAGTAATAACTGTCATTACTATGTTAGCAGCGCTGATAGAAAAGTCCAAAAATAGCCCATGCAAGTAAAAGAAGATTACATATTTTTAGACACTTCTTAATTTCAGTAAAAGAGAAGTTACCTGTCAAAGTTTAAACAACACTGATATCATAAGCATAACTATAAGTAAACGAGTTATATTTCTGTAAACAAAATGACTACAGAAAGAACTATCTATGTATTGTGAATACACATCAAAGTACATAAGACATTAATTAAAATAAAGTATATGTTTTTACGAAATAAATATAATCGGAAACGCTTAAGACATTTATCCAGTCTATAAGATGTTAAAGTTCCTTTAAAGGATTTTATTGAATCTAAATATATGAAAAACAAGATTATCAAAAAAGGGTGGCGTTTTTGGAACGCAACTCCTACAGGATCCAGCAACACAGGACCACCGACAGGGAGCCAATCAGGACACCCAAACAAAAACAGGACAGGACGCAAGTCAAAGCACGGAAAGGGTGATTACTTATAATAATTCATAATAGGAAATTATAAAAACCGACAATGAATTTAATTTAGATGATTCATCAATAGGTCTTCAAAAGTAAAGGGGAGTAGGGGAAGGGGATTTGACGATCGGGGAAGTGGGGGAGCAAAATCAAAATAATACATAAATACCATATGATTAACAATAAAGTAACTGATTTCTGCTGCTGTAAGATTCCTTTTACACAATTCACATTTCAATTTGATATCTTTATTTTCATATTAGGATTGAATATTGTAATGATAAATCTTGTTTGAGCCTTAGATTTTATCTGATTAATTTTTGACTGCAAATTTCATGTAGCTATTAACAACAAAGAGAATAATTTGAAATGGTTAATGACATTATGCAAATAGAAAAAAAATGACGTGTACAAAATGATTAAAAGTTGAACATCACATACATTGTAAATGACAAACCTAAACTCATGTAATTATCATGTTATTTTAAACGAAGTAAATACTTGACAGTAAATATATATGTACAGAAAATAACATAATTTGAAACTTACATTCAGCTCAAAGGTGCCTCTTTTAGAGTTGTGTGACTTAAAGGAAACATTGGGAAACCAGTATAATTATCTTCTTTCGTGATTGACCAACCCGAATCTGAGTAACACGTAGCTATACGAATCAGAGCATGCAATTATACAGTGGGATTACAAAATTCATTTCTCAATGATTAATTATATTTGCAAAGACTTAGTACTTAGCTGTTTAAAACCCAAATGAAACTATTCAATAATGACAATTGCTAAAATTATGGAGATAAAAGTACTGACGATTAAAATATACTAGCGCAGTTTTGTTTAATATTCATGATGTACTAAAAAAATATCTTTTAAGAGAATCACATTATATCAGTGCATTTCTTAAGATTATTTGACAAAGCTTAAGAAGAGGCGATTCTTATACAATACTTATTCTTTTAAAATTATTTACCTTGGCCAATAGTACGCATAATATGAAATTATAAAAATTAAGTCTGTATATTCATTGTCAATTGTTTTGTATAAATCTATATAGATCTTATATTTGTAAATATTTTATAAATAATTGGTATTAAAATGGTTTCCCAAAGAGTTATTTTAAGTAATAAAATGGTTTTCCGAAGTTAATTATAGTCCGTTATTGAAAGTAATCTACGTATCTTGAATCAAGTGATATTTATTTCAACCAGCATAGAGCTTTATGAAACTCGAGATAAAAACTGTTTAAAACTATATAATAATAATAATAATAATAATAATAATAATAATAATAATAATAATGATAATAATAATAATTTCTTTATTTAAAGAAGGTTACACATTAAGAACATACAATATCAATCATATATATCTTATTTCCAATGTGGCCTTCTGAAATAGAAAACAACAACAACAAAAACAGAACATGCATAGGTAGAAAAATGAATGTATAATATGTAATTTTTACAATAAGACAACTCATATACTTTTGACAGACACTCAACAATTTATTTAAACATATACGTATAAATTGCATCATTCGTTCGTGCATTTATTCATTCATTCATATGAACATCAAGATATGTTTCGTATTTTTCTTTAAAACAGTTAAGGTTATTAACATTACGAATATTTAAAGGTATATTGTTCCAAATGTTCATGCCAGAATTAGAAAATGTGTCTTTAATATAATTTGTTTAGGTCTTGTCCATAATACAATATCTTTTCGTGACCTAGATCTTAAGTTATATGTTTTGCTGTCGGATAAAGTCATCAGTTCTGTCATATAAGTCGGTGCCATGTTATTTAAAGTTTTAAAAACAAGTACCGCCGTGTGGTATTTACATCTGTCAAGGAACGGTTTCGAATAGCTTCATTGACGGCGATCTTTGTGGTTGCTGTAAAATGATTTTAGAAATTTGTTTTTGTATTTTACAAACATTATTTATGTAGTTTGTGTTTCCTTTACCCCATATAATACAACAATAGTCCATAACGGTCAATATATAGGCATTGTAAAACAATATTTTCATATCAAAGTTTAAAAACACGATATCTTTTTCAATAAAGCAATTTTTCCGTTAAGTGTTTTGCAAACACAGTCAATTTGCAAGTGCCATTTTAAGTTGTAATCTATGCAAATACCCAGGACTTTTTGATCAGTTACATTTTCAAGAACTATTTCATTTATCTTAGGATACAATTTTCTCATAATATTTACTTTTTGTCTTGTTCCTATTTCCATACATTTTGATTTATCTGGATTATTATTGATTTTGCACCATTTCTCAATGTTATTTAAATGATCTTGAAGTTTTACTTCTACTTTTGATATATTTTCTCCGGACTCATAAAGAGTAGAATCGCCTGCGTATAAATCAATTTTTATATTATTACCAATGAAAGCTATGTCATATATGTATATTAGAAATAATAAAAGTCCTAATATTGAACCTTGTGGAACACCGGAAAATTTTTTTTATTGTCTGAGATTGAAGATTACATATCCTTACCAGTTGCATTCTGTTAGAAAGATATGACTTAAAAAACTTTACGGCATTTTCAGAAAAATGATAAAGCTTAAGTTTATGCAAAAGTATTTCATGATCAACCAAATCAAAGGCTGTCTTTAAATCTAAGAATACAGTCACGGTAATTTTTCCACTGTCAACATCTTTTAATCAAGTATCTATTAAACTAATAAGTGCAGTATTACAAGAATAATTTTTGCGAAATCCTGATTGTTTATTATGAATTATATTGGTTTTTTCAAAGAATGAGTGTATTTGTTTGGCAATATGGCGCTCAAATATTTTGGATATAGTTGACAAAATTGATATCGGTCGATAGTTATTTGCTTCATTTTTATCCCCCGATTTATAAATAGGTACAACTCTAGCTCTTTTTAAATCATCTTGGAAAATATTAGCTTTAATACTATTATTGATAATTGATGCAATTATTGGTGTTATATAATCTTGCCAATTCCATCTAATCTTGTAGATTTTTTAATATTCAGATTTTCAATAATAAGTTTTACTTCAAACGGTGTAATGAATCCAATATTAAATTCATGATATTTTAGCTTTTGGTCTAAAGTTTCTTTCAAGTTTTAAAAATTTGTATTTGAAAACTTTGTTTTATGTATGACATTCGATATATTGATAAAATACTAGAGATAATGTCAGTGACATGTTCATTTGTCGGAGCATCAAAAGACATCTAAAATGCATTGCGTCAAAAATGAGAAGATTTTTTTTCAAAAATAAATAAAGAAGATATTGGCATGTAAAAAGGGATATTAGACTGTGTATACTAGACGTACATCAGAACCAGAATTCAATATAATAATTATCATGTTGTTCACGCTATAGTTGTGAAAAATCTTAATATATATGTCATTCACAAATATATAAAAAAAATTAATGCATTAATGAACATATTAATATTATATTAAAGAAGCGTAATGATGAAAATGTATTTGTCTTATGATCATATAGTATACTTAATGTTATATTCTTTATGATTTCCTTTCATAAAGTATGAATATGTATATGTTGTGTATGAGTATGCAGTATGTTTACTTTTACATATATCATATGGTTATCTTTGTCATACATTTTTAAAGGACCATCTATTTCAAATACATTATGTTTCGAAATGATTTAAGAAATTTTCATAACATATACAACAATAATGAATATCAGTGTCCTCGACAACATGTTTAATAACAGCTTCGATATTTTCTAATAATCATTTTCCATTTGTGCAAAATAAGATACCAGAATATCTCAAAACCATGAGTTTTTATATATTTTGATAACAGCCGATACCTTTAATTGTTTTATACAAACTCTCTTCTTCTTCTTCTTTTTCTTCTTCTTCTTCTTCACAGACAGTGCACAAGATAAGTTTTCTGACATTTCTGTATGTTGTGATCAAAGTGGCAAAGTAAAATTATATATATGTACATAATTATGCAAATAAAACAATTTTCAAACATCGAACTATAATTGTAAAATATTTACTGCAAATATTTGTGCATATAATATGTAATCATTAAAATATATGCTTTCATTTCTTATTGTAAAATTTGACTTAAACTTTATAGGTAATAAATTTCTAATACCCTCCCTTTATTTACATGAAATGTTAAATTCAGTAATATCTTTATGAACTAGAACTATCACTGAATGTGATTAATATCCCCGCAAGACTGCTTCGGAAATGAGGAAGTTACTAGTAACAGAATACCTTGTAAAGAGTTTAAATAGAGTTATGGTTGTCGGCCATTAAAGATAGTTGTGGTTCTTGTACGTTGCATTTCCTTTCACTGTGGCTGACCATTGGTGAAGTTTTATTGAATTACTCTGTAATAAGTCCAGATAGAGTTAAGCACTACACTTCCTTTTATTGCGATTGACCATTGTATGAAGTTGCAGTGAATCCAAAACATTAGTTTTGAAGTTACGTATCAGACAAGGTAAAGGACAAAGAGCAATAACTCTGAAAATGAGTTATGATTATTGTACACTGCACTTCCTCTTATTGTGCTTTACCATTGTATGAGGTTGTATTGAATTCCAACTACTAATTTTCAAGTCATGCACTGGACAAGAAAAAGTAACAAAGGGCAATATCTATGTAATTAGTCCAAATAGAGTTATGGTTCTTGAGCAGTGCACTTCATTTAACTGCACTATACCATTGTATGAAGTTTCATTGAATTCCAACCATAAATTTTCAAGCTATGCACTGGACAATGAAAAGTAACAAAGGGCAATTACTCTAAAATAAGTCAAGAAAGAGTTATGGTTCTGTGTACTGTGCGACCTCTCAATATACTTGACCATTGTACGAACTTGTATTGAATTCCAACCGGTAGATTTCATGTTACACTCTGCGACAAGGAAAAGTAACAAAGGACAATCAATCTCAAATTACTCTGGATAGAGTTATAATGGTTTTTGTGACCTGCACTTCCTCTCAATGTGCGTGATCATTGTATGATGTTGTATTGAATTCCAACCTGTAGTTTTCAAGTTATGCTCCGGACAAGGAAAATGCAACGGACCGCTGTACCGACCAACCGACCACCGAGTGAATCCTATATCCCCCCTCCCCCAAACTTCGTTTCGGGGGTATAATAATGCTTTTTGGAACATACGATATTGATAAATTTTAATTTTATTATCATATTTATGATTTAAAATCATAAAAATAATTGTGTTACAAGAACTTCAGTTTTTCATCTTATATACAACTGTGTAAAACAGGTAATGATATTCACAAGTGCTTTCAGGTTCTTGGTCCTTTCTTTGTCATGTCTAACATGATATTGTTTAGGTAGTAAAGAATGTGTTTTTGGTCATGGCGACATGGAGAAAATAATAAAAATGATATTGTGTCTATGTATTACGAAAAAAAATGTAAATGGATAGGTTTTATATTAACAATAATTGTGGCGTAATTTTATTAGACAGGACTGATATGGGTAATCAGTTATTTATATAGCCTATTGAGATTATAAACTTCAAACTACAATACACTGATGCCCAGAGACAAGGTAAACATCCATTTCGTGGTTAATAGATAGTGACTTCATATCATAATACCATTGTTTTTACAGATAATGTAGTGGTTATTTTTAGTTTTATTTATTTTCTAAAATAGTCTTTGGTTTTCGTTGTTAACGGAAAAACCCAATATTATATTTAGAATTTAAATTTATTTTTTATTTTTATTTAACAGAAAAACCAAGTTTTATTTCAAGAGATTCTAAAATAGTATTTGGTTTTCCGTTGTAAACGGAAAAACCAATATTATATTTAGATTTTGAATTTATTTTTTATAGCTCTTACGTAAGGAGGACAGAAGTAACAAGGCTAATTTATATATTTACCGTATGTCATTATTATATAAACGTTTATAGCAGTTTTTGCTTGTTTATTGAGTAGTTTATTGACACGTTTACACGTGTCATGCTATAAAAAATTACTTACTTTCTTGTTATATTTTATATTGTGGATATTTTATAAGTGAGTGAAATATTTGTATTGAATTTTATTTTAAATTTTGATTTTGAATTTTCGTATTTAAAAATAAGGCATACATTTATAAATGATAATACTAGATTATACCTGTTTTTTTCTTTGTTAAATCTCAAGTTCATTTATGGTTAGAATGTCTCAAACAAGTGACATGTTGTTAGAGAGTAGCCAAAGTGCTAAAAAATCTTTACACTAGACAAAGAAATGTAAAATATTGGTTATATTAACATCTGTAATAAGATTAATTCTTTAAAAAAATAGACAATGAAATTTATTGATAGTGATTAGAAAGAAATTTATTGATAGTGATTAGAAAATATGTAAGCTATTTCACAAGTATTTTCAGACTTAAGCCAAAACTTTAAGTTCCGCCTCTCCAGAAATAATGTTTAATTATTGGTCAACTGAGTTAAACAAAGGACAGTGAGAGGACCATTTAAAAGATCCCTTTTGCAGCTGTCAGAATCATTCTGCCTGATACTATAAAATATATGTGTTAACAAATAAAAAAAATGGAAAAGTGAAATAACTTTTCTTATATTTTTATATCTACAAATTCCCCATTGTGAAAGATTCTGCACCGATAATCAAAAGGAGAACACAAACATAAGCAATTTAGTTACTAGTAAGATTGGAGAACAAGTCATCGATAAAAAAGTGTCAAAGAAAAAAAAATAACAGCTTTCTCAGCTTTACCGTGTTATTGAAAAAAAACCCACTCGGAAAATATGCGTTTTCCATAGGAATATTAATATGACCAGACAGGTTTGCTTTGAGCCTGCTCATTTCTCCCAGCATGACCCTTTGTACCGACGTAGGTAGTATTCAACAAACAAAGGTGAAATAACAAACTTAGACATATTTTTCGTGTCATTTACCATATATATAAGTTCCAAGAAATACAGGCTTCTTGCTAGGATTTGAACCTAGAATTCTCACATCAGTAAGCGTGTTATTCTTAACACTACAAAAAGTACTTGAAACAGGTATGTTATTATCTTTAAATGACACTTATCTATTTTCAGACAGTACTGATGGCTAAGTGTGTTTGTTTTTTTCTTTTTTGTCAAAGAATATTTAAAAATACCTTTATAGATTACAAACGATCCATAAGGTGCTTCTTAAAAAAGAAACTTTGGAAGAAGGTAACCTGTTAGTGCTAGACAATTCAGCTGGCAAACTATTCCACAACAAACAACCTACAAAAAGGCGGACTTGGAACCAAAACCTTTGGGATTGCAAATGCACCCTCGTAAGAATGAACATTGACCTATGGGATGAATTTATTTTCAATGTAATCTGAAGTCAGAACGGGTTTTTTACTTTAAAAACATTAATCTACACGTTTTTGACTGGTAAGCAGTTGAGTGAGCGACAGTTATGTAGACCAATCAATATTAAGGACAAACATAATCAGATTATTCTGAGTTACTTAAAGTTTATTTTAAAGGAACTGGGACAGACCAAGATACCACATTGGACAGCAATAATCAAATTGCATTGGATTAAAGACATAACTAGAAGTTTCTTAGTATGTTGATATTACCAAGAACTCATTAATAAATCAAATGTAAATATTTTGCTTTTCAAGTTGACATTTTGTATGAATTTCAAAAATACTTTTGAACAGATAGAAAAGAAATTAAAACATTTTGACAGACTTATTATTAGACGATGTGTAGAGCACAGTTTTGAGCTTCTGAAAATAAAATTTACTCCGCCCTGGGCACTACTATATTTACATAGACTAATATAGAGCGCATTTTGTGAAACTACAAAGGCTATGGCTTAGATATTTAGCATATAGCATTGACCTTTACAAAACTGTTATTAATCATGACCCTTGGTTTAATATTGGCACCACCCCATGGGGCACTTGATTGATGTAGGAAAAACACATCTAAGATTTATTGAGTGAAACAACACTTTACAAATATTTGGCGTGTAACATAACTTTGTGGATCAAAAGAATAATTGCTATTAATCATGCCCCTTGGCATGGCCCCGGGGGTCACTTAGTCCACGTAGTTTTGTATAGGAAAACTCAGTAATGTCTTATTGTATGGAACTGCAATGCTTAGAGCGTAGATATTGACATGTATCATTGCCTTGTTGGCCTTTACAAAACTGGTTTTAATAATGTCCCTGGGACTATTATTGGCCCCGCCCCGGGGGTCATCATGTTGATATGGCCTTGTATGAGAATACACATTTCAGTCTTACATTGTGACACTATGCCTAGCATTTGGCTGGTAGAATTTCCAAACAGATATTCTTTTTATTGCATGGTAATACCGAAAACATTCATTTTGTTGAAATATTAATTATGCAGTATGGGTTATCTTAAATTAAATTTTTCGGAGAAAAGCTAAAAGTAGGTTATTATTCGGATTCCACAAGTTTTAATCAAAAGTTTATTAAATTTTCTTTCAATTTTAGGCTCAATCATAAAAGAAGATTCTCAAATAATGTAATAGTCAATTTAAAATAATCTATTTTCGTAGTTAAGTAAAGCGCTTTACAGATTGATTCAAAATTTTTGAACTGAAAAATGTATTCGTAACCGATGACGTTGCATGGGCAAAAATATTTCGTTTGGACAGTTTGACTCGCATTCTTCTTTAAACGCTTGCATTCAATTAGCTGATCAGATTTCGCGCACTGTTTGACGGCAATTTGTTTATCGGCTGTATAAGGAATTTAATTAAATAAAACGATTTAAACATGAATTTTAGGATGTGACAGTTTAATTATTTTGTTAAAAGGTATTTCATTTTTTTCATGAACTGTTCAAAATTAAAGGAACTCCACTTAGGTCCAAAAATCTAAAAAGAATAACTGGCTGGGGCACATAAACAGGAGTTATGCAAAAGATAAAAAAAGAAATAGATTCAGAAATAAATATAAAATTGAAATGTGTGATGTTCTTAGTCCGTTTTGGGTTGTACAATATTCAATTTTGAGTCATATTTCACAATTAAGATACTTATTATAGATAAACGTAGATATCGAATGACCAGGCAACATAGTGATGTAGATCAACATCAAATGGAACTCTTTTCTCGAAAAATAATTTCCAGACCCTCCATATCAGAAAACCTCAGTGGGCTCCCTTTAATATACTTATACCCTGACTTACGTATTTTATCGTTCAACAAGATTTTCTTGTGGAACGTGTTATGGGTTTATAAGCATATTCGATATGACGTTGCTTTGCCCAAAAGTAAAACGTACAGGACTAAAGTTACATGTTGTTCAAAATTCATACTTTACCTCGTAACACCAATGTTCGATTTATTTTGTACGATGTTCCGTTGGGGCCTGCACGTTTTCAGAACGACATGCGTGAAACACGGCAGTACCATGATGACAGTGGGACAGTACGATTGTGACAATACGACAGTATGATGACGAAGCACGACAGCACGATGGTCGCTCCGTCGTACTGTCACCATCGGACTGTCATCTTTCGCACTTTCCTTTTTCAGAGAAAACGCGCTGGCCCTAATGAAACACCGTATAAGTATTGAGATTAGAGAGTTAATGGTTATTTTGATACCATAAATTACATCACATACATTGTAAATGACAAACCTAAACTCATGTAATTATCATATTATTTTTAACGAAGTAAATACATTACAGTGAATATATATGTACAGAAAATAACAGAATTTGAAAACAACATTCAAACTTACATTCAGTTCAAATGTGCCTCTAGAATTGTGTGACTGTAAAGCAATAATTATCTTCTTTCGTGATTAACCAACCCGAATCTGAGTAGCACAAAGCTATACGTATCAGATCATGTGATATACAATGGGATTCCAAAATTCAATTCTCAATGAAATTATGCTAAAATTATGGAGATAAAAGCACTGTCGATTAAAATATACTAGTGCATTTTTATTTAATATTTATGATATACATAAACTTGTTGTTAACGCAGAAAAGACAAAAGTTATGGTATTTAGAAAAAGCGGTCGTTTACCTGGTCATTTTGAGTTTAACTATAATGGTAATATATTGGAAATAGTTAATCGTTTCACATACTTAGGTGTTGTTTTTACAACTGGTGGTGCATTTACAGAAACGCAAACATTATTAGCTGGTCAGGCCCTTAAAGCAACGTATAGGCTAGAAAAGTATTTGTATAAATGTGTTGATATATCGCCGAAGCATGTCTTAGATCTATTTGACAAATTAGTTTATCCAATTTTATCATATAGCAGTGAAGTTTGGGGTTTTGCATCTGCAAACTGTTTTGAACGTGTACACACACAATTTTGTAAGAAGGTCCTTGGTGTTAAGAAGAACTGTCAAAATGATTTTGTTTATGGTGAAATACGTAGACTACCATGCAGAACAAGATTTTTACTTTCAATTGTTAAAAATTGGTTTAAAATTCTACGTTTAAACGATAGGAAATATGTTAAAATAGTTTATAAAGATATGTGAAATACAATAGAAAGACACCCAAATACTCTTAATTGGGCTAACCAGGTGAAACGTTTATTAAGTCAGTATGGTTTTTATCATATATGGGTATTTCAAGGAGTTGCAAATGTCAATGTGTTTTTAGAATTGTTTAAACAACGCCTGTCTGATGTTTATGTACAAGAATGGAATTCAAGATTAGATGAATCATCTAGAGCATTATTTTCTAATAATCATTTTCCATTTGTGCAAAATAAGATACCAGAATATCTCAAAACCATGAGTTTTTATATATTTTGATAACAGCCGATACCTTTAATTGTTTTATACAAACTCTCTTCTTCTTCTTCTTTTTCTTCTTCTTCTTCTTCACAGACAGTGCACAAGATAAGTTTTCTGACATTTCTGTATGTTGTGATCAAAGTGGCAAAGTAAAATTATATATATGTACATAATTATGTAAATAAAACAATTTTCAAACATCGAACTATAATTGTAAAATATTTACTGCAAATATTTGTGCATATAATATGTAATCATTAAAATATATGCTTTCATTTCTTATTGTAAAATTTGACTTAAACTTTATAGGTAATAAATTTCTAATACCCTCCCTTTATTTACATGAAATGTTAAATTCAGTAATATCTTTATGAACTAGAACTATCACTGAATGTGATTAATACCCCCGCAAGACTGCTTCGGAAATGAGGAAGTTACTAGTAACAGAATACCTTGTAAAAAGTTTAAATAGAGTTATGGTTGTCGGCCATTAAAGATAGTTGTGGTTCTTGTACATTGCATTTCCTTTCACTGTGGCTGACCATTGATGAAGTTTTATTGAATTACTCTGTAATAAGTCCAGATAGAGTTACGGTTCTTAAGCACTACACTTTTATTGCGATTGACCATTGTATGAAGTTGCAGTGAATTCCAAACCAAACATTAGTTTTGAAGTTACGTATCAGACATGGTAAAGGACAAAGAGCAATAACTCTGAAAATGAGTTATGATTATTGTACACTGCACTTCCTCTTTTTGTGCTTTACCATTGTATGAGGTTGTATTGAATTCCAACTACTAATTTTCAAGTCATGCACTGGACAAGAAAAAGTAACAAAGGGCAATATCTATGTAATTAGTCCAAATAGAGTTATGGTTCTTGAGCAGTGCACTTCATTTAACTGCACTTAACCATTGCATGAAGTTTCATTGAATTCCAACTATACATTTTCAAGCTATGTACTGGACAATGAAAAGTAACAAGGGGCAATACCTCTAAAATAAGTCAAGAAAGAGTTATGGTTCTGTGTACTGTGCGACCTCTCATTATACTTGACCATTGTACGAACTTGTATTGAATTCCAACCGGTAGATTTCATGTTATACTCTGCGACAAGGAAAAGTAACAAAGGACAATCACTCTAAAATTACTCTGGATAGAGTTATGGTTTTTGTGCACTGCACTTCCTCTCAATGTGCTTGATCATTGTATGATGTTGTATTGAAATCCAACCAGTAGTTTTCAAGTTATGCTCCGGACAAGGAAAATGCAACGGACCGCTGGACCGACCGACCAACCGACCACCGAGTGAATCCTATATCCCCCCTCCCCCAAACTTCGTTTCGGGGGTATAATAATGCTTTTTAGAAGATACGATATTGATAAATTTTAATTTTAGCATCATATTTATGATTTAAAATCATTAAAAAATGTGTTACAGGATCTTCGGTTTCTCATAATGATATTCACAAGTGCTTTCAGGTTCTTGGTCCTTTCTTTCTTATGTCTTACATGATATTGTTTAGGTAGTAAAGAATGTGTTTCTGGTCATGGC